ATTTCGTGTTGGGTTGGGTTGGGTTGGATTGATCGGGTTGGTCGGGTTTTTGAGCACCCCTCATGGAATCATACATCTGAGTATTACACAAATAAAACTGATAACTATTGAAATAGAATTTTGTAAATGCAAAACAAAGCTGACCTTAAAATCAAAACCTGATATATGTCCTCGGATATATTTTAGACCAGAAATCTTTGAAATGGAATGATGACTGTATAATGGAAATCACTCTCTTTGTAATGATTTCTTTGACTGTTGTTTTTATAACCCAACATATTTTTTAAACAACCAAATCCCCTCAAAAAAGCAAGAGCAAATAGTGAAAACAAGAAGCATAAACGAACAAAATCTAAGCTCGTTACAAAACTGAGTGAGCTAGAAGAACTACTTTTAAAGCTAATGAAATAAACTTAGAACCTTTGGTATGCAGACTGGTTGAGACGGAACGGGACAGGACAAAAATAGTCTCATGTTTGGTGTGTCATGGGACAAAAATAAAATGAGACAACATGGGACAAAAATAAGATTGGGTGGGACTATTCTTGAGTTTTATGTTCCACCAAAAAATATAGAACAACATGGGACTAAATTTAAGATTACAATATTGTCCTTATTGATTGATATCAAAAATAAAAACCTAATTTAATTACGTCCTCTTTCTTCTCTTCCACAACCTCCATTCTCGATTCCAGCCTCCATTCATGAAATGTTAAACTTTTGACGATGGCGTGACAAATGTTATTTACAATTGTTGTGTTTAAACTTTTTAAATTATGTGCGTATTTAAAGTTTATGGTATGATAAATGTTATTTACATATGGTCTTGGAATGTTAAAAAAAATATTGATATCATAGATTAAATAATTTAAATATATTTTTGGTTGATTTGTTATCATTTTCAATCATTATATGATATAAAATAACATTGAACAACATATTAGTTTAACAGTCTTGTCATGGCCTGTCATATTCGTACCAAACATAGGACAGACAATTTGTCATGTTCTGTCATGTCTCGTCCCGTCATGTTCTGTCTCATCCAGTCTGCGTACCAAACATTACCTAATGTTTGTAATTTTCAAAGGAGATCATCCTTAAACTTCAAAACTCGAATGTCATCCCGCATATTTGTAAATTTCAACGGTTTTGGTCCCTTTGTCTAACAGTCGTAAACTTTCTCGATCAAGTCCAATTGAATATTTAAATAATTTTCACTCCTTTCATTACAATAAAATAAGAAAACATATATTTTTTTTTATTTTAAATTGCAAAATCAGAATAAAAGATGGCGGTTATCTTTTTTTTTTTTCTCTTACAGTTAAAAATAAAAATATAATATATTTTTTTATTTTTAAAAATTAAAAAGTAATTAAAATATTCCCCATTTATCTAAAGTTAACAAAAAAAATCAACGATTATTAAATACATTGAAAATTGTTAAACATAAAAGACTAAGGAGTCGTTTACCAAACACTTACTCGGTAAGTGTTTATCGGTAAAATTTAATATTATTATTTTCTTATCGGGTAAGATTTTGGTCCACCAAAACGATATCGTATGCAACAATTTACTCGATAAACGTTTACCATGGTAAGGATCGTTGCCCTCACTTACCGGGTAAACCTCTTGGTTCTTGTCACGCTTTTACCAAGTAAGATTCATGGTCTTTATCATATCAATCCGGTGAGGTAGTGTGACTTTTAGTAAACGCTTACCCAAATAAGCATTTGGTAAACAGCCCATAAATCCGAAATTTTAAAATATGGGAGCAATATATGTTGAAAATTGGAAATATTAAATACCAAAATCTCTTCTTTTTTTTAATTAAACAAAGTTGATGATTTTTTTATTAACATCATTTGCATATATAATTACCTATTTCTTCAATTTCCATAGATTAGATTTAAAAAATTCAACACAAAATCATAACTAGCATTTTATTTAATTTAAAAAAAAAAGTAAATTTTATTTAATTTTAAAAAAAAAAGTAAATTTTATTTAATTTAAAAAAAAAGTAAATTTTATTTAATTATATTTTATACCAATTTGGGGAAATGGTTTGATGATGGGTCCGACAGCAAATAAAACGGTGGTTAACCGATTTGAGTTGGAAGGCAGATTTAGGATAAGATGAAGGTAGTGTGTGTCTTCTCTGCTGAAATTGAATATTCAATTCTAATTAAATTGGATTTCATATTAAAGAGTCTTTGGTCTAGCATAGTCTCGTTCTTGATATTTTATAGGCCTTGGATGAATGTAAAAACGTGGCTTGCTGCAAGAAACAAGGTTTTTTGCAACGGCTTTTGTTGTTGCCAAAAGTCAATTTATTATCAGAAAGAGTATATAACAACATGTTATCGTTATAACTTGTAGCGAAAACATGTTACGTAACGATAACATGTTATCGTTAAAATACACATTGTCAAAGTTCACTTTTCTTGTAGTGATCCTTAGTAAGTATGAAAAAAAAATTCCAATAAATGTTTTTCATTAGTAGAAAATTGAGTACAAGAAAATGCTAATAATTTACTGAGGAAAGAAATATTATTTATTATTATTATAGATATATGTATTTTTATATTTTTTACATTTTCTTGTTTTGATTTTGTTCTCGTTTAATCATAAGGGAATGTTTGGTTGATTTTTCATTAAGTCTATGGATAAAACTGTCTATGTATATTAATCTGTTTGTACAGATTGGAAAGTTTTTTTTACATGATTTTTTCATGGATAGAAGGAGTGTATTTTTAATTTCGGAGTGAAAGGCTTGAAAAAAGTGTGGTTTTCTACCTAAAGCTTCTCTTGAAAGCTTACTTAGGGCCGTTTACAAAACGTTTATCCAGGTATGTGCTTGCCGGCAAAATTCAATATTATCACTTACTTGTCGGGTAAGATTTTAATCCATCAAAATGGTATCAAATGCAACAATTTACCCGGTAAACACTAACCGTGATAAGAGTTATCGTCCTCTCACTTGCCGGGTAAGACTTTCAGTACTTGTTTTTGCTCTTACCGGAAAAGATTCTTGATACTTACCATATTCGTTCGATAAGGTAATGTTACTTGATAAACGTTTACACGGATAAACAGCCACTTAATAAACTAATTTTTATATTATTAAATCACTAACAAACTATCATATATAATTGATCGAATAAAATACGAATATATTTAAACTTATTAAGCTGTTATCGTAAATGATGTATGCAAGGAAATGTAAGAATTTATAAACGAAGGAAGTTGATTTAAGGTTGGGGACGACATTGAAGTGACGGTCAAGCAGATATGTGTGGCATTCGGTCACCGGCGCTGATCATGGTTTACACCCTCACGTGACTGACATGCGTGCAGTAGGCAACCACGTGACACTCATGTGTCATCCCCATCTCTTTGGCCCTTGTGCTTGGAAATTGTTAAAATTCCATATTAATAATTACTCAAAAATAATATCTTTTTGAAATTTCTTTTTGAAAGGTTGGATTATAATTTCATTAAAGAAAAAGCAGAATATTTTTATTACAAAATTAAAAAGTAAAAGAGTTAAAATAGAAAAAGACAAGGATTGCGTTGCCCCATGAACAAAGTATTAACCAGAGAAGATGCGCTCCCCATCCTCATATTTATACATAGACTCAAACTTCTATAACCCAAATAATATTCATATCTAAATGTGGATTAATATTAATGGGATGCATTAGACCAATTCTCTTTTAAAGTATAATTCATAAGTTGACATGAGATTATAAGTAATCAAGGGTGAAGATCTTTTCTTACGCTTCTCACGTTAATTTTTTTCTCACACAATCATTCGTGTGTGTGTGTATAGTAAAATATACATGTGCTATGTCGTAATGACCAATAGTGAACAGGGTACAATCGGAAAAGATTAGGTGTTCTTATCATACACCGATTTTAGTTTCCGAGAATCTCTCCATCATTTTGAAACTAAAATCAATCACATTTTACTTGTTCGCTTATAAACGGTTTATTAGTTCACCAATGAACACATATATGATAAGTAACAAAAATTGGTAGTTATAAAAATTGTTCTTAACAAACCTTTGACCGATTATTTATGTATTAATGTCTCTAGTTCACACACGAACATCATATGAAATGGGTTCACTGATAAACATCATGTGAACTGGATTTACTAATGAACATATTATTCAAAACATCATAATCGAATAAATTATTTGAATCAATATGTTAAATGGTATTGTGTTCATTTTGATTATCCATCATTCAAATTAAATTGAACATATAATCATTGAGAATCTTGAAAAGAATGATGAAATTATCATCCCTAAAAATAAAAATTATTTTTTGTAGCATCCCATTTAATCTAGTGGAGTAACTTACTATGTACCCTTAATCACTGACTCCAACATTTGAAGTAATCATGACTAAAGAATGATTTTGATTGATCCAACGAATTCACAAAGTTAACCCCATCTTTTCAGTTAACAAAAGATCTTCCCTCTGTATATGTAAATGTATATATAAGGAGTTGCAAATACAAATCATTGAATTCTTACAAACCAATCTTAACCATCTATATAGTCTAATGAATATTGGGTTCCATAAATACTTCAATTGTTTCTTAATCTAAGGGGTCGTTTATCTAAATACTTACCGGTAAGCGTTTACCAGTAAAATTCAATACTATTACTTACCTTATGTAACAAAACTTTAATCCATTGAAACGACATTGTATGTAAAAATCTACCCGGTAAGCGCTAACTAGGTAAAAGATGTCGCCTTCACTTACTGAGTAAGACTTTTGGTCATTGACTTCGTTCTTACCGGGTAAGATTATTGGTCTTTATCATAGTCATCCGGTAAGGTAATGTGACTTGGTAAGCTTACCCGGGTAAGCGTTTGGTAAACAGCCCCTAAAGCAATGATCATAATAAATGAACTTTATCGTCTTCTATAATTATCTCAATTGTTTCCTAAGATGAGCGATAATCATGGTTTGTATGTGCATCTTAAACTGAAAACTGAAAATGAAGATTAAGATTAAATATCTTAGCAAAGCAAGCAAATATTAGCATACAAAAATAAAAGCAAGACGTTTTTGACACCTTCAAGGAAGTCTATCTTACAATAGACGCATGCACGCATAAAATTCCACACATTTTTGTTTTGTTTGTTTTTCAAAATAAGAGAAAACAAAAGCCCTTCCTTATCTGGGTTTGGGTGCAGCCCAGCTTAACCCATGGCGTACTTCTGGGTCCAGCTCCGTGCAGTCGTCTCATACTTGTTCCTGTCGGTCTTGTACATGTGAGCAATCTCCGGGACTAGAGGGTCATCTGGGTTCGGATCCGTCAACAGAGAGCAGATCGACAACAATACCTGATCCATTATTTACCCCCCAAAACCCACATTATTTCGCCAATTTATCACGATATTGCTTTGGATTATCCAAAATTTACCTTTATTTAACAACTAGATTAATAGTCAAAACATTTCTCCTTAACCATGATAAGGCAATTGGAGTACTAAATTTGGAGCTACCCACATGATTCTTGATTTCAGCATCTTTTACCTCTTTAAGATGGTCCAACTTCATTACCACAATACTTTTAAATAGCACTCAGGCGTTTCTTTCTTTGAGAAATAAAAGTTGTAACACTCCATCCGAACCAAAATAAGTTTTTGCTTTCAAAAGTAAGTGCTCCCTCTATTATTAAGGTTGGATTCAGGTGAGAAGGGAAGTTATGTTGAGAAGCGTAAGAATAGATCTCCAACCTTGGATCAGAGCTAATTGAATGTCAGCACTAAAAGATGTGCACCAAGATGTACCAGATCAATTCCCTTCTAAAGCGCAATTCATGAGTGAGCATGAGATTAAAAGTGATCCAAAGGTTCGGATCTCTTCTTACGCCTTTCACCATAACTTTTTCTCACGATCCTTTGCCTAATTATGAAGGGTAAATTTGTTTTTTTATACATTTCTACATTGTGTTGTCTTTTCTTTAGATTGTGGATATTTATTTTGGAACAGATGGGAGAATTTTTTAGTGTGCTAAAGTACTAAATGACTTAAAAAACATTTTTACAACATATGGGAGTAGAATGTTAACCTTGGAAATGGTAAGAGCTGGGCTCCATTGTTCCTTCAAGATATCAAGGCAAATGCTGCCATTGCTGTTGATGTTTGGATGGAAAACCTTTGTCCTGAAAGCTACCTATAAACACATGTTAATCAAAATGAAAAACTAGGAGAATCCTTCATTCTTTAAAGAAAGGATGCTGAATATCAGTTTGATAATATGCAGATAAACAATATGTTTCACTTCCATCAAGGCTATATGCTTAGTTAAACACATATGTGTCCAAGAGTCTGATGATTGTCCAGAACTCTAGTTTATTGTAATATGTGCTCAAATGCAAGCAAAACACGAAAACAGGGAAATGTGTAGCACTTTTACGGGTTGCTGCACAGAACAGCTCAAATTGTAAATGCTCCAATACGATCACTAAAGATATTTGAAGATTTATTTTTCGTACATCTTGTGTTACTTCGCCAACTACCTTGGGACAGTAAGGGATGTATATCTCCTTTGTCACTTCCAATTTAGATTTTATTTGTTACACTGAAAATAAGGCAAAGTCACAGCTTAAAATCACACATCCAGGCATACCATTCCTAGCATAATCTTCTTGAAAGTAAAAAAATATTGTTTTGCTAATGATGGTAGCATATCAGAATACAAAAGACGAGTTCTTGGGATATTAGTATCCCCTCTACCAATTGAAGCATGGTACTTTCTGAGAGAAAAGTTCATATTGACGGTGAAGTAAAAGAGTTAGCACATGAAATGATTCACGTAATATAGTTCTTTCCAGAAAATGATTCAAATATGTAAACATAAGCATCACCACGGTTCCTCAGATGACTGCAGTTGATAGGTACCTTAGGTGGCTTAAATGGATAATCTGGAGGGAAATGAATGGTAACTAGAAACACTCCACCCGCATAAGGACTGTCGGGAGGACCCATAATTGTAGCTTGCCAGTGAAACATGTCTTCTGCCACTGGGCCTAAGATCAGAGTCACAAAACCCAGATAAAACATATGAAGAATTGATGCCACTCACATTCTCTAAAATTGAATACCAGCAGATGTGCAGAAATGCATGTATCCATGTCCTATTATATTCTATTGAGTCCACAGTGTCATACATGTATGCGTCTACTACACACAACACACTGCAACATATACATAGATAAATAATACAAGAAAATATGAAGGCACCATAGACAAATTTCCAGTACTATATTTAGTATGGTTGCCAATAAAAATACACTATTATGAATTATCTTCTTCTATAGTTGTGTAACATAAGAATTACCCTGAAATCTATCTGCCCCATATAAACTAGAACTGGGATAGGTCGCTTATCAAACAATGTGGTCCTTGTTAAATTTGCAAAAAAAAAGAAGTTAAATTATGTCATTGCTTACAGGCCTTTTACTTTGTTATGTTTGATTAATTTTCATTTTGATATATTCACATAAACAGTTTTGAGATATTCAAACACATGTCTTGGTACTCAATTTACTACCTAAACTTGCGGTTTTGCACATAGAAAGTTTTTCCACAAAGATAACGAAAAAAGACGACTTGAAGTGGAAAGAGTAGCACATCATAAAGCCAATTACTACAGGCGCATAGCTTTAGCTTCCTGATAGAAATGTTTTTCCCTGCTGAAAATTGATGACATTGAATAGACAACCTTTATTTGGTAGAATTACCTACCTCAAAAAAATCTCAAGATTCTGAACTTTGAAGACAAACTTACCTCTCTTACAAAAGGGATGTTCGTGGGTAAAGCCAGCAAGCAGGGTCACTGCTCAAAGCCTCAACTTGAGACTGATAACCCAGGGACATAATGCATAACTAGATATGACAAATAACCATACATCTAGTACTGTGACACAAGAAAGATCCAAGCACAACGCAGTTCACCTGAATTTAATTTGCAACTAGTTACTTGACAATATTAAAATCAGACCTCTATTGCTTTTAACATGCAATACACATGGTAAAAGGAGAAGAATACGTTAAAAGAAATTCAATTTGTGATCATGTGGATGTCAGTGCAGAATGCAGACAATGGAGTAGCATCTATGGACGATCTACAATTAGTCTGTTGCATGTGATGTTTCACACTAGCAGTTACAATAGTTTGTTTTTTAATATAATTTTACATGTTCTAAATAAATCTTTAAACCCGCTGCACTTGCAGTATGCAGCATTCCTCCCCAATAAATATTTATACAAATGAAGTTATTGTGTGCCCGACTTCTTCACCTATAGTTGGACTTAAGTAAAATTCTCATCTCTTTTTCTTAGTATTTTGTTGTTGACCTTTTTGGATTATGCTACTAGGCACTAGCTACAAGTATCAACTTACCTATTACTTAAGAGAAATCTAGGGAAGAAAAAAAGATTATATGGGCAAAAGGGCAAGGAATTAGCCATTTAGGGCAGTATAGCTCTATCCATTTTAGTTGTTTGGTGCATCTAGAGCCTTCAACAGCTGTGGGTGGAACTCTCACCAAAGCAAAGTTGATTACAAGGGTACAATATGATGCACATCTGGAGGAACTCGGCACAATTAGTCACCTGAAAAAGCAAACCAAAAGGATTTCATAGATGTCACCACTCAATTGGAGATTAGCACACTCTTACTGCAGTAGCTCTAATAGAAGGCAGATGCAATGGTACATGGTAGTATGGTACCATTATCAACCTCAAACTGTACCATAAGATGGATAAGCTACAATAAATGATATGAATGCAGCACAACTTCCTTAAAGTCCTTCGTCTCAAAGTAAGCATCCTCGATTGAATTCACACACTAATGGGAGCTAATGCTTGGATGGAAGCATCAACAATCTCTATTGTGTTCTCCTATAAAGTATAAAGTTTCCATATTTTCCCTTTCCAGGAAAGAGCAACAATGGGACATGCCAAAATTGAAAGGACTGCCCACCTTGATTGGAGCCATAAATTCTATTGAACACAATTTCACAAAAATCTATAGTTATCCCCATAGCTGTGTCCTCATAGATGTGCCACAAAACGCAACAAGGATCTGCTGTAGAAACTTAAACACCTAGAACACCAAGGTTACCTTATTTCTTTAGGATTCACGTGTCAATACCTTGGTGTTGCACCATCGTCCTTATCAAAAGTTTTCATCTCATTTCCCTATACAACAAAATCGTTCATGAACCCTAATTGAGCATTTTCATTTAAAGATCAAATCATCTTGCTTGCAACTTGGACATGAAAATATCTTAGCCTTTTTAGTTAATTTTTCACCAACAATTAGCCATGTCACAGTCAATCCTAACTTTAGCCCTTTAACCTAATTAGAAAACAAATTTAAACAAAGAAAACACGAGATCAAGATAAAAAAACTTTCAGAAAACAGGATCTAACAGATCGACGATAATACCATACCTGCGCTGCAAGAGGTAGGAGGATCTTTCTGAAGATCCTTGAGTTCTTTCAAGATCCGCTTCGAAGCCATCCCGTACCACCACCAGGAGATCCTAAACTTTCCGTAAACACAAACCCTAACTCAAATTAAAACTCGCAAACAACACAATTGAAAACATAATAGCTATCATATATACAAAAATTCCATGAAAATTTGAAAGTTTTAACAGATAATTTTGAGAGAGAAGGAGAAAAGGGGGGGCAATTTACCTCGAAGATCCTCGCCTCTGATTATTAGAGTCTTGTGTTTCTTTCTTCTGAAAAACCGGAGGAAGCTATGGTGTCTGGAGAAACGTCTTTTATATACATATATTCTCTCTCTTCCATCGGCTCTCTATTGGTCCGCATACCCTCATCTTTTAGATTCTTCACGTTTTGGTCCTCAAGTTTTAAGAATATTTACTTTTGGCTCCTTTTAAGATCTTACTTTTTGGGTGTGGTAATGTCATTGTTACATATTTGGTCCCTGTAATTGTAGCTACTATCCATTATCCGTCCTAATCATAGTTTTGATCATTGTGATTATCATGATTACTTTTTTGGTCCCTGCAGTTTAGAGATGGAATTTTTGGGTACCCGATCCTAATGGGACAGGGTTTCCTCGATTTGACGGTTAACGAGGAGAGAACCGGAATTTATTTTTATACCCGAAACGATGACGTGACGGGTCAGTGATGGCATTATTCGCCCCTAATTCGACTTCGAATAAATTTTTTTATTTGTTTTAATATATGTATATAGTGTATGTATATAAATAAATATATATATGTATACATTTATTTTTAAATGACAAATATATTTGTTCTTCAATGTTAGTAATTAATGTAGTGACTGTTCATTGTAATTTTAATTTTATAATACATTGTTTTTTACTAAACGGATACGTAACACGTTCCCTGAACCCGTCAATAATTAGTTGGGGACGAGGGCTTGAATGGGGTTCGGGGTCTTGACGAGGGATGCATTACCCATCCCTATTGTAGTTGTCACCGATTATTAACTTTAGTCCTTACTTTAAGCTGGTTACAACTTTGATCATACTTGTTAATTTGTTTCACTTTTGATCTTAACTTTTGTTAAAAATCTATTGACTAAGAGACCAAACAGATGCCTCCTAGGCGAAGAGGAGGGCTTAGGATCGCTTTTACCAGGGGGGATGAGGGCGAACAAATATAAACCCTTGCATTGAGATAATCCATTGAAGAGGAGGGTAGATGACCTTTGGTCTTTTATTATTTCTTTAATTTCAATTACAAAATTAAATACATATAATATTATTATATTATAATATATATATATATATATATATAGAGAGAGAGAGAGAGAGGGGTTGGTTATTATACAACCCTTAACATTTGTGCAACCAATACAACCTAATTTCAACCGTCCATTTCATTTGATTAATATGTGATTTCATAGAAGATTGATTGTTTACTAATATAAAGTGTTGATCATAATTAATGAACCATATTCAACTTCCATAAATATTCAAATCATAATAAATGAACTCTCATCATTTCCATAAATATTTTAATTTATTGGGTTGCATTGGTTGTACAAATGGACATGGTTGCATTTGAAGTATACCTTATATATATATATATATATATATATAGAGAGAGAGAGAGAGAGAGTGAGAGAGAGAGATGTGAGTTATTATACAACCCTTTATATTTGTACAACCAATACAACTCAATCTCAACCGTCCATTTAATTTGATGAATATCTAATTTCATAAAAGTTTTGATTATTTCATAATATAAAGTATTGATCATAATTAATAAATTTTATTCATCTTCCATAAATATTCAAATCATAATAAATAAACTCTCATCATTTATATAAATATCTCAATTAATTGGGTTGCATTGGTTGTACAAATGGACATGGTTGCATTTGAAATATACCCCATATATATATAGGGGCACGTTCAAATGAAAATCACTCAATTCTTAGAAACCGTGTAAACTAATTTTGACAAATAGGAAAATTCTATTTTTTTCTAATTAAATTTAATTATTAAGGGTATTTTGGTCATTTGCATTGTTTTCTATTAAATATGAAAGTTATTAATAATTATTAATTAAGACAACATAATAAAGAAATTTTTATAAATGGTAACATTTAAATATTTAATTAAATTATAATATAAAAAATTTGATCTTGTTATATAGTGTGTCGATTGAATCTTGTCAAGAATCAGGAAAATCGCAAGGTATTGGAGCAATGAATCCATGAAATCAGTATTAAAATAAAAAAAATGTTCATGAAAACGATTTCATACATGGTAAAATTATGAAATTGTTTCATAACACAGGGTCAGGAAATGTTTAAGATGCATGACTGTAAATTCTGATGAAGTTTAAGCTAAAGAAATAACAAATGAATCAGTTTCATGTTCAATTGAACAAGTTTCAATCAGGATTACAATTGAAAAAAATTTGTAAAGAACAATATACTCCTTGTGAAACAGTTTCAGAAGTAACAGTTTCATAAATAATATATTACTTTGTGAAGTAACAATTACATTTAACCTGTGAAACAGTTTCATGTGATGCGGTTTAATGTGAAACAGTTTCATATTAAAATCAGTATTAATTGAACAATGAAATCAGTATTAAAATAAAAAAATGTTCATGAAAACGGTTTCATATATGGTGAAATTGGTGCATGGAGTAATTGAACAATGGGTATTTAAAAGGTTTCATGGTGAAACCGGTTTCATACGGGATCGGTGACGACGTATATCCGGCCATTCCTCCCGCCGATTGCGTTCTTTTCGAACCCAATCGCACAATTGGCTAGCCTTTGATGATTAGAGGCCCAGTTGGAGTCACACCTCCAGATGTCGTCGATTGGGTTGCCGGTGCCGCAGGAGAGATAACCCAAGTTTCTCCGGGAGGAATTATTAATATTGGCGTTGACTTCATGGACGATGGAATCAGTGTTTTGATGATGAGATGGGGAAGAAGTAGCATTAATGGTGAGAAGAGAAAGTGAAGAAATTAGGAAGAGGATCATCAATGGCGGAAAAGTGGTTGCAAGGAATGGATGATGAAGAATGGACTATTCATGTAAATGATCAATTAAGAGGATGGAGAAGATGTATTTGTGTTTACTATTTTGCCCTTCTCCCCATTATAAAATAAAATTTTTAATTTTTTTTTTAATTTCCTTAAATAACCTTGATTAATCTTAACCATTGATCAAGAAAATGGATGAGTGAGATTGGTTTACACGGTTTATACAAATGGAGGCGGTTTTCATTTGATTGCTTCTCTATATATTTATATATATATATATATATATATATATATATATATATATACTATAAGGGTACTCACGTAATGCAACGAGATACATCTTGTTTTTAATATTTTATTTCATTCTTTATCTCAGTCGATATTATAGTATGGTCTTATGTGATTTTGAAAATGCAATGATGTTTTTATTTTTGAATAAAATATAAATTTGAAAATATCATAAAAAAATGACAAAAATATATCGATATTAGTATCAAATTAACTATTTAAAATTCATATGTTTTGTATAATTTTTAATTCAATTTTTTATTATAATTTAATTTAGGTTCAATAATGAAATAATTTATATTTAGTTTAATAATATAATTTTTTTATAAATATAATAATTAATTATTTTCTTAGAACTTGATAATTATTCTAATTATATTTTAATTTTTTGATATTTTAAAATGAGATGTTTATCCTCTATTTGATTATATTTATCCGCAGTTAGTTACACGAATTCAAACATGAAGCTTTGATAAGTTGTACTTATGGATAATTTACTTGTAATCTTGAATTTTAAGTAATATGCATCAATATACAGTATTTCATGCATAAAAAATGGTTTTTAAAAGTTTTTGTCAAATGCTTTATAATATAGTATAGATATATATATGTTAATATGTAAATATGAAATAGAGTAGACTTCACATATGTACCCTACTGTTTGTCAATTTCAACGGATATCGTCCCTAAATTTCGAAAACTCGGATTTGATCACTTACGTTTGTCATTTTGTAACAGTTTTGATCCCTCCTCCTGACGCCGGTTGAAAATTTTCGTTAAGTCCAATTTAACGAGGAGTATTTTAGATTTTCCATATAATACTTCTTGATTAAAATTAAAAAACACATTATACTGGTCTGAGAGGATGATCAACCATACTGGGACTGAAACACGGGCCCATAACTTCAGTAGAAGGATGCCTCCTCACAAAGGGGGTCACATATTATAAATTTTGAAAACATATACAAAAAACAAGAAATAGAAAAACTAACCCATATCAAGATTCATAACCACCACCATCCACCTTCATCTTCTTCGGCCAAACTCTTTGTCTGATCATCATCACCGGCCACATAACACACACTCATACACACCCAAAACTCAAAACAAACCCAAATCGCTCCAATCACATAATGTTTGAAAAAAGGGAAGTTCCAATGGGGGCCCGAACAAGATGAGAGATTTACCTTAATCAAGGAAAGCTTAGTACCGCACCCGTCCTAGCCTTGTCCGACTTTGACAAGATTTTTGAAGTAGAGTTGCGACGCAAGCGACATTAGGGTTGGTGCAGTCCCATCCCAAGAAAGAAGATCGGTCGCCTTTTCTAATGAAAGCGAGGCTCGACAAATGTGGAGCATGTACAACTAAGAATCTTACGCGGTGGTTTAAGCATTACGATAGTGGAAGCATTACTTGGTTCAAAAGGAGTTCTTCTTATTCACTGATCATCAAACTCTAAAATTCATCAACAACCAAAAAAATGATCAACAAAATGCACGATTATTGGGTATGTTTTCTGCAGAAATTTCCTTTTGTGATCAAACACAAATCCGACACTCTCAGCAAAGTGGTTGATGCACTTACTCGAAGGGCCACTTTACTCGTTACCTCGTCACATGAAATTGTTGGTTTCGAGATCTTGAAAGAACTCTACGAGGAAGATAATGACTTTAACGCGTGTTCTCAAAACTTTTTTTACAAAATAAAGGAAAGGGAAGGAAAATTATGATAAGTTCCTTCCAAAACTTTCCTCCCAAATGTGGGAGGAAAGTGAAGGAAGGAAGAGAACACGATGTAAAAACATATGGAGGAGGTGTAACAATGCACCTTTAATGACGACTTCTATGTCCGAGATGATTACCTTTCTAAAGGCAACCAATTATGCATTCCCGATTTCTCCTTGCGAGAGAAACTAGTTAGAGACCTACACGGAGGTGGGTTGAGTGGGCATCTTTGTTAATGTCATTTTTTTAGTTTTTAACTTCTAATTTTAGATCTATCATGTTTCTGAATCTTTTTTGCAATAAATGACTTGAACACATGACCTCACATATGAAAAACAATGAACTAACCAACAAAGCATTTTGTGAAAAATATTTCTATATTTGTTTCTTATGGTCAAATGGTGCCACCATTTGATTTTTTTTTTTTTGGGTTCATTCCTAAGACAAGATGAACTAACCCCATGAGTTGTCATATAGACATCTCAACCTCCCATCATATACCAACCATTCATTGTCACATCCCCATTCCCATCCCTAACGAGGAAATGAAGATTTTTTTCTTGTTTATGAAACCTACTTTAAATCAAACATATGAGAGAACATACATGTTTAAATCTCACATGTTTTAAATAAACCTAAAATCAAAAGCAATTTAATTTAATACAAAAATTCACATCATATAATAAGTAATAATCTGAAACCAAAATAATTTCAATTAAATCCAAAAAAACTTCATGTCACACGTACCAAAACTTATCAAGTAATATAAAACCATAATGAGTAATATCCAAAATATATGGAGTAATCGTATTTTAACTTGACATCCAAAATATTATATACTAAAACAATTTTAGATTCTAAATATAGTTAAAAAAATATGAAACTATGAATTACCAATTTAGTTGAAATAAATAATATATAATTTATATATATATATATATATATATATATATATAACGAGTATGAGAAGGGTAGGGAATGCGTTACCCGTCCCATCCCCATCCATGGTTTGAAACAAACGGAGATTTCCATCTCCGGTTTAGCGGGGAATCCCTGTCCCTGATCGGGATGGGTGTATCGGGTTCCCCGACGTCCCTTGCCTATATTGAAACAAACTTTCTCAATTTTTAAAAATTTCTAAAATAACGTAGTTGTTACAAATATTTTAATAATTTATTTAAAAACAATTATCAAATATTTTACTATTAGCAAAAATAATAATAAAGGTTATTATTAAAAAAACTTTGTCTCAATGGTATATGAGTCTTTGACTTCTTATAAGATAAAGAGTTCAAATTTTATAAAAAATTGAAGAGGATGTGTGAGTTTTTTTTTTTAAATATTGTACATAAATATTATATATTTTAAAAATAATAATAAAAAAGCTTATTTGTAATTTATATTGGAAGAAATGTAGCCAAAGTTATGGTATCTTGATGTGACTTCGAGATGAACGAAGCTTTTGCGTGTATTTTAATGATATTACTGTAATCTCCCCCAAAATCATTGAACCACTGATCCAAAAATCTCTTACGGAAGATCAAGCAATCGATTTTCCCCCAAATTCAGGCCGAAAGATGAACGATGTCGATGTGTCAAACCAGATTCAACAGATGGTCAGATTCATCCGTCAAGAAGCGGAAGAAAAAGCCAACGAGATCTCCGTATCCGCCGAAGAAGTAAGTCACTTCAATCAAATCAAGTCAATTTGTCTACTTCAATTCGAATTTGCATTTTGTAGCGAACATTTAGGTTTATTTGTATTTCTTGGTTGATTATTGTAGAAGTTTAACAATTAGCAGTTGCAATCTGTAAGTCAAATGCCATATGAAGTCAAGTACGTATTTCCTATCCAGTATGATTTGTAGTTGAAGAAACTAGGGTTACTCTATATTCTTTAACAACGTGAACAAAGTACTGATTTTATCTGTTTTCTGGTAATTGTTGTAGGAATTTAGCATAGGAAAGCCGCGATTGTAAATCGAATTAAATCAAATGAAGTAAATTTACGCAATTCAGTTGCATGTAATTTTTATTTATCAAAATCAGAGTTCGCTCCGCTGTATATCGACTTTATCTGTTTTTTCCTGTTATTTCTCTAGGAATTTAACATTGAGAAGTTGCAATTAGTGGGGGCTGAGAAAAAGAAAATCCGACAGGAGTATGAGCGCAAACAGAAACAAGTTGAAGTTCGAAAGAAAATGTAAATTTTTCTTAAGATCGTGCTTTGTTTGTTCGTTTTCTATATGTATATGAATGGCATAACCGTATGTTTGTTGATTAGTTCAGTCACGCATGTTCTTTGCTTTGGGTTGAAATGATATGATTTTTGTTAATTAAGAGCTAATCAATTAAGACTATCAGTTGGATAATTTGTTAAAAGTGGTTCTTCAGATGATACATGCTCTAGGTGATGCTCATTAGAACCTGGTTTAGGGGTGTATTACCATTTTCCTATTAGTTTTATTGCGACGGTTGATAGGTAAATATGTTTATTTGGGTCAAGCACTATCAACTAATGCCTTGATTTTTGTAACTGTCAAGGGGTTATCATCTTCAAAGAGCAGCTATGGTTTAAATGCATGTGAAGTACAGAAACTCTATAAGGAATGAGTAGTCACTTGGACTCCTCCATTGACATGCAGACAAAATTGTGCTGATAATAATGTCCTGATGTTTTTTTTAAGTACATAATATTATATACGGCATATAGAACAAATAAACTCATACACACCCTCCTCACTTTGGTGAGGTTTGAACCCTTGACCTCCTAGGAGGCCAAAGACTCACATACCGCTGGGCCAAAGGCCCTTTGGTATGTACTGATGTTATAGGACATATTATGTGCAGAAAGGGACTAATTAATCTGTTGAAGTTCTTTGAACACTTCATACTGTAATTGACAATTTAAACATCTAGCAAGACTCTGATTCTTTCTCGTAATGCTTGTTGCAGTGAGTATTCTATGCAGCTCAATGCTTCGCGGATCAAAGTTCTTCAAGCTCAGGATGACTTGGTTACCTCCATGAGAGAGGCAGCATCAAAGGATCTATTAAATGTGAGCCATCACAAGTTTCAACACCAGCATAACTACAAAGAACTGTTGAAAGCTCTCATTGTCCAGGTACTAATCAAACTTTCTTGAATTTTATTTAAAAATTACACCATCTTATTAAAGCACACTATATCATCCAGTGATAAACACTTGAGAAAATGATCAAATAATGTGAAGTATGCTGCCTGTTCTTATATTAAAAAACACGGAGAAGGATCCTGAATGATTTCAAGTGATGAAAAAACCTGGTCATCTTTTCAATGTTATATGACTGGAAGAATGTAAAACATGATGCGCCATTGAGTATGGTGTTTGTCTGTGGTTGTCACCTCACTCAATACAACTGTTAGTGCGATAACAGCTATGGCAACCAGTTTTCTCGTCTCACAACTGTTAGGTGCACTGCTAATGTGGCTGGTAGTGTGCCACTGTTTAACCATGACATCTTTTGCAAGAGAGGATAATCACTATTGGAACATTTGGCCAATAACCATGCGTTTCAGGGTTTACTCAGACTGAAAGAATCATCTGTGCTGATGCGGTGTCGGGAAGATGATATACATACAGTGGAATCTGTTCTGCACTTAGCTAAGGAGGAGTATGCAGGAAAAGCACATGTTCATCCACCTGAGATCATTATCGACCACATCAACCTTCCATCTGCTCCTTCCCCTGATGATCCTCATGCTCTTTCCTGGTACGCTTTCTTTTATGTGTGTATGTATGTCCTGTGCACATGTTCATGTATAGAAAGTAGATACACACAGTTCAATATGCACACGTTTCTTATTTTATGCACTTGTGTTATCTTATCTATGGGGAGCACTAGATATGCCAAGAACTAATCTCTTCTAGTATATTTTGGAATTTCAGCTCCGGAGGTGTAGTTTTGGCTTCTCGTGATGGTAAGATTGTGTTTGAAAACACACTTGATGCTAGATTGGATGTTATATTCCGTGGGAAACTTCCGGAGGTACTTAATATTAGATTGCCCCTTCAACCCCACCGTTTTTGTTACCGTAGTAGTTATTTTTCCCATATTTACACAGATTTTAGATTTAGAATTCATAGAAGTCAAATGTGAACTCAAATTCGGATATAATAAATGAGTTATGACGATGACATTAGAAGCAGTACCATAATTTGTTGTTGAAGATATACATATAAGTAAAATATAAAAGCATAATTGGCATATATCATTATCGTAAGACAAACAAACAATATTGTTACCATCAAATTCAATCGACTTTAAGATTACATTTCTGATTCCCTCTGTGCAGATTCGCAAACTGTTGTTTAGCCAGGTTGCTGCTTAGCAGGTACACAATATGTTGTATCTATTTATTTTTCTGGCTGTTGGTCGGAGTAATTCATGTATTTTCGGGTCATTTTGTGTTATTGTATCTGCTTAGTAAACCTTATTTTCTATTTTAAGCCATAGTGAAAGACAAAGCTTTCATTTGTTTGCATAATATCAGTATCCCAGGTGTAGCTGCTGTTTTATATGCATACATTCTTTGAAGGATTTGTTACATGTGTGTTACCCTTTTCAATCTTTCAACTTGCATTTGGTGAAATGGAATGCTAAAATTTGGTGAAATTGATGCATCCTTTTGAATCTTTCAACTTGTATGCTTATATGAACTTAAAAGGATGCGTTTTGGTATGCATATAAGATAGAACATGATAAAACAACTATTCAACATTTGAGAAGACAAAATTGGACATGAACATATAAGATGACCAATATACCCCCATTGAGTTATTTATATATTTTGATTAATTATGTAATTTATTAAATTATAATAAAATAAATATTTTTAAAACAAAATATATCACTGAAAGTTTTCGTCAAGACGATTAAAATGAAATTAAAATTAAAAGTTAATGTAGTTTCCAGTTTTTATTTTATACCTTTTTCATATATTTTTATTATTATTATAATTTAATAAATTATGTAAATTAATTAAAATATAAAAACCGTATATAAATAATATTTAGAGGACAATAAAGTGAAAGTTTAAATAACATAAAACACAATAAATAAAATTTAAAAAATAAATAAATATGTAAAGAGAAGCATATTTGATGTTTTAAAAGAGAATTATGTTTTATTTTGAGAATATATTGGTAAAACATAAGCATGTTCTACTTTGTTCCATGAGTGGGGGTACAACATGTTTGTTCCACATTAAAGTCTTACCAAATATGAAACAATGATTCATGATCTATCATGTCTAATGTACAAAACACACCCTAATAAAACTGTGAACTTGGTGCATTCATGAGGTCAAGCCTTATTGGTCGCCAATTTGCAGCCTTCGAAATACACAAAAAGACATTTTTGGGTGTATCCAACACTTTTGATCTTGCTAGTCTTGTAATCATGCAAGTCGCAATTTTTATATGAATCAGATGTATATTCTCGGTTCGAATGAGAGATGTGCAAAGATGCCATATTCTTTGATACCTACTTTTATAATTTCGGTGGCAATTTTGACCATACGAGTTACTTTGGTGCTAATTATTAACTTTTGGTAGTATCGTATCGAGTCTCTAAACTTGATTGGTACATTGTACTAAAAATTGCATACTATGGTAAAATTGTCGTATCGATTTATTTAATTTAATTATATATTAATTAATAGTAAAACATATTTTTTGATTTTTAAGTTTTAAAGTAAAATTATTTTCATTTAACATTACCATTTCGTCCATTCTTCTTACTCAAATCTCAATTAAGGAGTTGCTTACTCAAATGTTTATTCGTAAGGGTTTATCAGTAAAAGTCAACCACTCTCACTTACTTTTTCGAAGTAAGATTCTAATTTATTAAAATGACATTTTATGCTATGATTTATCCGGTAAGTGTTAATCGGGTAAGAGTCGTCACCTCTACTTACTAGGAAGACTCTTGGTCCTTGTCATAGTTGTTCTCGAGTAAGATTCTTGGTCCTTATGATGTACATGCGGTAAGGTAAAGAGACCCGGTAAGCACAAATTGCCATCGTTGTTTCCTCTCCTTAAATGCCTCCGTCCCTTTTAACAACTCACTTTAAAGTTGGTATAAAACCAATACTAACATGTATTACTTTTTGTCTTTTTAATGTATTGAATATGTAAACATTGTAACTTTTTAACTTTTTTGGTTAAGTATTTGAATGTTTGTAAGTTTAATTTCTTGCAATAAAAAACCAGTAAATATGACATATATTACTTGGAAACTCAAAATTGAACAAAATGACAAGCTTTCATATGTTTAACTTGAAGTTGATACAAAATCAGTACTAATATATAACAAAAAAAAAACTATATTAAATATAGTTAGTTGGTACATGATATAAGATTTGACGTATGAATTAGTATGAGGAATAAAACTTTGTACCATTCCTAAGTCCACTCCTATTTACTCTATATTTCCACAACACATTTTTAACATGCTTATATGGTATATTATCATTTATTGTCTTTTAAGTTTTGCTTTCACTACATTAAAAAAACACGACGTGACTAAAGGGTTTTTGGCCTATCAGTATCGTAGCCTATGGCCTCCTAAAAAGTCAGGGGTTCAAATCTCATCAAAGATTAGAAATGTGTGTGAGTTTATTTGTTGCATTTACCGTATATTAAAATTATATACTTAAAAGAAACACACACACCCACAAATGTGAAATCGAAATATTAAACTTGAGATCTTTGATGCACAACTTATTATTTCATGCATTAAAACCGAAAACACCTTCAGAAATTGCTTTAATATTCTACATGATTTGTGTTATATGAACATGAAATTCTATTGAAATTTCTTGATTCTGCATCTGTTTTGTTATGGTCGTTTGAATTATTTTCTTCCAGCTTTGGTTTTTGTATGCTAATGGTGGTTGTTTTTCTTAGGCTTTGTTTTGTTTTCCTCGTGGGTTTTGAGGTATTTTCTTTTTATTACAGAGCCCTCTAGATGCCTTCTTTGTAATCCCTTCTTTAAAATTATCTAGAATGTATCTATACTATATTATAAAGCATTTGACAAAAAACTCTTAAAAACCATTTTTTATGCACGAAGTACTGTTTATTGATGCATATTACTTAAAATTCAAGATTACAAGTAATTGTTCATAAGTACAACTTATTAAAGCTCTATTTTTGAATTCGTGTAACTAACTGCGGATAAACATAATCAAATAGATGATAAATATCTCATTTTAAAATATAAAAAAAATCTAAAATATAATCAGGATAATTATTGAGTTCTACCAGAATACTTAATTATTATCTTTATAAAAAATATATTATTAAACCTAAGTCAAATTAAATTAAATTATAATAAAAATTTTGAATTAAAAAAATATATCAACAAGAACTTTTAAATAGTTAATTTGATACTAATATTGATATGTTTTTTGCAAATTTTATATGATATTTTCAAATTTATATTTTATTCAAAAACAAAACATTATCGTTTTATCAAAACCATATAAAGTCGTATTATATCAACATGAATAAAAAATAAAACGAAACATTGAAATTGAAATGTGTCTCGATGCATTGCACGAATACCCTTGTAGTTTTAATTAAATACAATCGTCATTGATAATCTATGACTTTGCTTGTTAGCTAAAACCCTAGACTAGATGATCAAATTTCTGGTCTAGAAGAGGCATGTCATTAAATCAAACCGTATAATAATTTAATTAAAATTTATCATAAACGACTAAAACCACAATAAAATAAAATAAATCATTAAACTAAAATTAATTCAAAATATCATGAAAATCTTTGTAACAAATAAACTATTTTAATAGTCAAATATTACAATTTAAATTAAATAACAAAAAACACCAATATTATGTATATAGTATTCATTTATTTTTTTAATATTTAAAAATCAGTAAAATAAATAAAAAGATCATTGAAGTTTTATTCATATAAATATATTTTTATGATTGTATTAATATGTGCTTTTAATAACCATTTCCAAAAGCTTCAAGTTTCATTGGAGAAATGTGAAAAAAACCCCTTTTTTTTTAATGTTTTTAGAAATAAAAATTTGAATGAAAAAAGTCCAAAACTTGTGATTTAAATTCTTTAGATAATTTTTTAAATAAATTATTGAATTTTTTATTATTGGTTAAATATATAATTATAACCTATAAATTAATTAATGTAGTAAAATTCTGAAAAAATGTCCGAAAAATCTAATAGATTTTTATATTTTGAAGGATTAATTAAATCGATGAAATGCATTATTTATCTCTTGATATATCAAAATATAAATAGCAAAATATAATGATACGTAAATGTTTGGTTGCTGAATACCGTTAGACTAAATACCCTTTGATAATATAATGAAGATTGGGGAAAATGGTATCGATACTATAATTGTAACACCTGAAATTTTTTAGATCTTTCGTTTTTATTTATTTATTATCTTTGGGATCCTCCTTAAGAAAAAAAAATTAAAATAAAAAGAAATGTATTAAAAGATAAAAATAAGTAGGGGAGTAGCTCCAKCMTTTCATCCTTCCCAATGACCTTTTGTACCTTGGTAAGGTTCCCTTTTCTTATATTTGGGTCCTTACCTGTTGTTTTAAAGGAAAGTAGGAAGGGGGTAAGTAGAGGAGGGGAGATGGAAGAGTTACCTGCAAGAGATCATATTTTTCCCCTCAAGCATGCTAAGTTGTTGCCTCTTGGAGTAGGATCAACCCTACTGTTTGGTCCTATTTGCAGCCATCTGTTAGTTCAAGAAGTGGATTTCTCCTAAATCCCACTAGGTGAGTTCATACTATATGGTCATCTTATCTATACTACATATATAACCATTTACACCATTATCTTAATTACAAACAACAAAGCATAATGTACTATCATTTTATGCATAAAATTCAAAAAACTCTTAAAGACAAATTATAAAGCATAATGTACAACTTATTAATGCACTGAATTTAACCCCTCTACCATCACCACCAAATTTCAAATTTGAAATTTGAAATTTGGAATGATGCTTTATGCTTTATGCTTTATCAGACTATTCCCTCAGACACTCTCATCCCTTCTCAATACAGTCTCTCTCTATCCATTATTAAATCAAAATCCCTTTGAAGCCTTTATCCTTTGGTGAACAATTCGAATCCCTTTGAAGCTTTTGGTATGGTTTCTCTCTCTCTCTCTCTCTCTCTCTGTATATTGCTTATGTTTATGATTGCTTATGTTTGGATTGCTTTTGGTACGGTTTCCGATTGATCCGATAGGTTTTATTTTCCGATTCAGAGATTCGGAGATTTATCGGAGGTCGTCGCCATTGTTGCCAAATAAACATCCCTTTGAAGCTTTTGGTACGGTTTCTCTCTCTCTGTGTATATTGCTTATGTTTGGATTGCTTTTGGTACGGTTTCCGATTGATCCGGTAGGTTTTATTTTCCGATTCGGAGATTTGGAGATTTATCGGAGGTCGTCGCCACTGTTGCCAAATAAACATCCCTTTGAAGCTTTTGGTACGGTTTCTCTCTCTGTGTATATTGCTTATGTCTGTGATTGCTTTTGGTACGGTTTCCGATTGATCCGGTAGGTTTTATTTTCCGATTCGGAGATTTATCGGAGGTCGTCGCCACTGTTGCCAAATAAACATCCATTTGAAGCTTTTGGTACGGTTTCTCTCTCTCTCTAATATTGCTTTTGTTTGGATTGCTTTTGGTACGGTTTTCGATTGATCCGGTAGGTTTTATTTTCCGATTCGGAGATTTATCCGAGGTCGTCGCCACTGTTGCCAAATAAACATCCCTTTGAAGCTTTTGGTACAGTTTCTCTCTCTCTGTGTATATTGCTTATGTTTGTGATTGCTTATGTTTGGATTGCTTTTGGTACGGATTCCGATTGATSCGGTAGGTTTTATTTTCCGATTCGGAKATTTAACGGAGGTCGTCGCCACTTTTGCCAAATAAACATCGCTTTGAAGCTTTTTGTCGGATTCCAGATTTGCAGGTTCAAATTGCTGCTACTTCTTCTTCTTGATAGGTGGGGTGGGTGGGGTGCGTGGGTAGAGATGTGATCTGGCAATCTTTATTCTTTACAAAACCAGTTTACAACCTGGATGTGTGTTGGATTCCACATCTTTGACTACCTTATGCATCACTTGCCTTTATTTTAAACCACTAAACTCATATGATATTCTTTTGAGCCACAAATGGGTGAACATGATACATACACTTTTACTTCAATCTTGAACATGATATTCATTTGTAAGATAGTGGAAGATACTATTATTAGTGAGATAGATAGAGGCTATATGTAAAAAGATTTAGTGGAAGATATTTTTTTTTACATAAGTTTAAGATATTTTATATAGATAGAGGCTATTGTTAGACCTTTAAATATTTTCCAAAAGAATTTGTGTGTGGCCCTTCTTCGATTTTGTTGTTTGATTATTACCACTTGACAATCTCTTGTCTATCAGATACTATGATCATATACTATTTGCACTTTGCAGGATTACACATGCTTGCATTGCTGAATATG